TACACGAAAGAAAAATACTTTCGGAACAAATACTTTTATATGAACACTCTTCAGTACTGAAGAGACGAAAAGCCAACTGTCTTACTGCGAAACATCGGATGACAGTGTTCCATGTAAGTGAAATTATTTTTCATTCAGTATATTCTATAGGAGTACTGTGAATGATATCTAATTCAATTCCATAAGGAATGTTTGGAATACAAACTGAACAGAGAAAAGTGTTTTTGTTTAATTCAGTGTTCATATGAAAGTAGCTGTTTCGAGAGGTCTTTTTTTCATGCATGATCTACACATCTTCATATCTAGATAGAATTCCCTTTTTTGAAATTGATTGATTCCTTCCTTTCTTTGGAAGATTCCCACTTTTTTGTGTAAAGATGGAGAAGTAGAAAGCCAAAACCTTCCTTTCCTGTAAATTTTAAACTAATTTTCAATATATTTGCCAAGATCATTATTATTCGGAAGAAACAGTACCGGATCGAGGACGGAACTCTGGAGTCATAACAAAAAAATTGTTTTTACACTTATATCTAGATGCGATAAAATTACTACATGGAGACATGCATATTTTTCAATTCATTGAATCAATGAATTAACACAATACTTTACATATACATAATGGATGATTGATAAATTAGGTTCATTTAGAGTTATCCATTTCTAAAAATGAGCACTTCTTCGTATCAAGCTGCTGGGTAGTTTGGAAAATATTGAAAGTTTGAACTCGTCCATACCGTATAAATAATAAAGCGAAAGTTAAGATTCCCAAACATCATCGAAAAAATCGCCTGCCCTTTCACTGCGTGGATTACCTAGTCTTCATGGCTGGAGGCGACAGAGTAAAAAACCTGCTAACCACTTTCAACTACACAGCCTACTACTTTCCATTTCATTAGCTGTTACTCAAAAATATTTCGCTTTCGTCGACCGAGCTCGATCATCATAAACATCAAACAGCCTATGAGCATTGAAATGTCAGATACCTCGGCGTGGGCATAAAAAAGGCGACCGCACCAAATAATGATAGAATACATATGCCAAATATGGATAGGAGTCAAGTTGAGAGATGAAAGGAAGGTCATGTAGACGTGGATTCGATTGTCAAAACACAACAGCCATGGGCGCACACAGTAATAATGACAATATAGATACCTAATACAAATATTGCTACAAAGAGAAAGCCTTCACATCTCGAGAAGGAACGGTAAGTAGATACTAATTGTGGAAAAATTTATGGATAAGAAGAATATACCAATAGCACAATCAGTATAGGTTTTATCTGTCGTTATATGACAACATGAAAATTTAGTAGTGTATAAATGTACTAGTACTGGTATTGTGATAAGTGTACTTTATATAGTGTAAAATTTTTAAAAAACACGAAATATGAAATATTTGAAAATAAAATTGTTTCAATAAACCCTCAATGTATAACTTTTCAAGTTAAAATTAAATTTACATTATTACAAGGCTTTTCAAATTCAAGTCTATGCTTGGGGATCTCATAAACGGTAATAAATAGATAGTTGGTTGAATTGTGACAAACTTGACTATTTTCAGATATTATTGAATGATACCAAAAAATTGAGTCAAACTCTTTTGGTTCAGGAGATATACGAGAAAAACAGAACATTTCGACTTTTTTGTGTCCTTTTTTGTATGCATACATTTTGAAAGTCTGTTTAAACTTTGTCATTGCAATTGAAACTTTTATTGTGCTATCAGAATATGATAATAACATTTTTATGGAGAATTTTATACAGAATTTATTCAATCGATAATATTCATATTTATCGTTTAGGACAAAATGAGGTGGTATTGATCTCAAAAGTAACTGAACATATCTCTCCTAAAGAATATTACTGGTGTATTATCCCAACACCAAACCGTTATTTTAACACCCCGACACGTGTTTCGATCGCGAAGTGATCATCTTTATGAGGAAGATCAAACTAGAAATACGTACAATGTTATCCTTATTTATCCATAGATACCTCTTCTAGGTACGTGTCTTAAATTCATTTCACAATATTGACTTATCTACTAGTCCTAAATTAATTTTACAATATTTACTTATGCAATAGTCAGGTGAATCTGATAATTGTTTCAACAAGTTATATAGAATACTATTAGGTATTGGTCCGTCATCGTTATTCATAATATTATTATGTTTACTTATTTATACACTCTCATAGGCATCTAGATGCCTGTTGTTGTTAACTTGTCTGACTTATCTTATATGGAATGGTTTTGTTGCAAAATATGATGGGCGACTGCTGATACTATATAGCTTGCTATACTATATAGCTTGTTAAAATAATTATCAGATTCACCTAACTGTTACATTAGGACACATTGTAAAATTAATTTAAGACTAGTAAATAAGGCAAATTGTAAAATTAATTTAAGACACTCAAGACGCAGGCAGGTACCTGGAAAAGGTATCTGTTTAGAATCTGGTATAAATGGTATAAATAGGGATAGCTTTGTAAGTACCGGTCATCAGTTCCAGAATTTATCTAACCACAACTTGTCAAAATTCCTGCCTTTCAATCATCCAATCGTTACAAGGAAAACCTTCTCTTTCGTGAATAATACAAGACATTATGTTGTGTTACTGAAGGCGATCGAGAGAAATCGCAGAACGAGATCGACTAATCAGTTTCGACGTAGGAAGCCTGTTCACCAATGTTCTTTGCGTAGAAGCTCTTCAGGCCATACAGAGGGGGCTATCGGGAGACGGCGATCAGAAAGCAAGATTCTTCAGGCAAGATGATGGACTGCCAATCGTTCGAAAAGTTGGGTATCGAAGAGGCCTGCAAGTAGTCCCGAGTTTATCTCAAAAACGTTGACAACATCTTCATAGTACGAAATCATGAAGACAGGTTATTGAATGCCTTTCTGCTGTACCTCAATGTGAGACCTTCCATAATATTCACAATAGAGAAGCAATCCAAAAATGAATTGTCGTTTCTAGACGTGAACCTTGAAGATGCCGCAAGTCGAAGTGAATCAGGAATAGCAGAACATGTTCACTTCAGAAGGATGTTTGAAGGAGCTAAAGGAACTTATTGAATGAACAAATTTGCATTCCATCAGACTAGTGTGCATTTAAACAACGTACGAAAATCACTAATCAAGCCGGAACAGTCTACGGTGAACTGTTGAGAAGAGAGAGTAAAGTGTGCCCAGATGACCAATAAAAATTATCGAACTACAAGAATAGGTCAATGTTAGAGGCTGTCTGATAGGGCGTTGAAAAATTGAGAATCTTGGTGAAGAAACAAAATATAATAATAGAAGAATGAAGGAAATAATAAAAATATAGTAATGATTATAAAATTAAATTAGTTTACGACACTGAACGAGGTGATCACAACTGTGTTATCAAGTTGGAACCTGTTCAGCAAAAGACCCACACGAAAGCTGCAGAAATTACTTCACTTAGACGGTTACACAAGGATGAGTCGATGCATGAGATGTTCAGCAATATTTAAAACGTCGGCTTATCAAAGTATCTGACCTTTGGTTTCTTTAAGTCGAGGGGTTGATCAAGAGCTTCCAGGATGGTGTCTTCAACTTGGATAGATAAGTCTCGAACATCAGGTGCAGGTGATCCAATAATGAATTTTTGACATAAAACTATTTGCTCTCTCTAGGAAAGTTACTGCTACTGATTGGGTAGGTTCATAACAGCTATAAGCATACTATTTAAAAAATATCCGAGTTGGGTGAATTTTTATAGCAAAATTTAACTTGAGAAATTTACAAATACTCTTTCTCGTAAAGCGACAGTAATGAAATGAAAAACCCTTCTATATACCGAAATGTGTTTAAAACTTTTAATACATTGAGTTATCATCAATGAGGCATAGTAGTATTCAATCATATTTGTAACATATCGAATAGAGTTAAGGATGACTAAACTTTGCAATAAACTTTTCAGTTATCGAAACACTAAACACTGAAGCATAGTTAGTTTTATTTCTGCAGCGGTAGGATCTTGATTAAGGTAGTTCAAAGTTCCCAACTTTGATTAATGTATATATAACGAAAGTAATTCTAAGGTTACGGCAGCTTCATATCCGGAAAACAGGACGAGTGTTTGTGAGTTGCTTCAAGAACTATGGTTTCTGAAAACCTAAATGAAACAACATTCGTATTTAAGAAATCTACTAGCAACTAAAGGTAACAGAACAGTTGATCAAGGCGGCCACCTAAATACATCTTACAGAAACTTGAATGTGAAGGCATTGTTCAAATGAATTGAAAAAAATAAATTGAAATATTTATCCTAAATGAAGATAACATAAAAATTCGTTATAGAGAAGTTTTTTGATTGATGACACTTTCATTGACCTCGTGTTTGTCTTCGGTCTTACAACCTTCTCATTCACCGAACCCTGTCAGAAAAAATGACGGACCTCTATGAACCGGTCAGCTAGAATAATAGCATTTGTTATAAAATAGTAACGCGTGAAACTGGACCACACATAATGAGGTAGCGTAATAAAAAACCGCGATTTACATCTATAAATAAATAATGACAGAATAATAGCAGATCGTAAAATAATCAGTCTCTGATACATACAGTAGGAAGGCAACGGCATTTCTTCAAGAATGTTTTTGAATATGGATATTTTTTATCAACACAATAATCAACTATTACGTTACAATAATAGGTTAGTAGGTAGACTGAGCGTTGCTTATGTCAAAACTAAACAAGTATATAATTACGAGATATTTGAATGATGAATTAACTTAGGTTAGGTTAGAACCAACACCTCATGAGGTTTCAAAAAATACAAGTGTCGCTTTCCATAGAATTTCGATTACACTAACGTACAGGTCTGAAGGAATTGCGAAGAATTCTGCGTTAGTTCTGATTAAGACGGATTGCTGAAATGATGCATAATCACGGTTATAAGATATAATTTACAAAAATGAAAGGTCCTAATAATTGCCTTATGAAACATTTTTGTAGGTAACAATTTTCATACCTTCTGTTATTTTTGATACTCTAGTGAAGCCTCTGAGAGTTATACCTGAAACACAAAATATAATACTATAGTAAAAGGAAATCCTTTTGAAATAATGTTATAAATAATGAAGACAAGTGGTAAAATAATAAAACTTTAGTACCCCATTTTCACAATGTAGGGTAAAGTGGAAAAAAAATGTCGGAATCGAGCTTTCAGCGGCATTTATTTGCTAGGAACAATATCCCAACAAGAAAAACAATTTCAACTTTTTCACGGAGTTTATTGGAATTAGAACCTCAACGTTTTTTCACTGGACCCTTCAAATGATTTAACTTGATGATATTTTAAAGAATATGCCTATCTTTATTATTGTTTCATTGATTCAAATGATCAGTGAGTTTTTCATGACGGCAATTTTTCATAACATTCCATGAATAATCTTCCAAATACAATACCAATTCATGAATGTAGTACGTGAAAGATCCTTTCTATTAGGGACCAGTTCAATGAACAGTTTTTTGATAGAATATTGAATTGATGATGTCCGAAAAAAAGTATATGAAAAATTATGTGTCCTTAAGGATGGAGAAGTGTGTGCTTCAGGAAAGTTATTTGATGGAATCGGCCAATACTTGATGAAAATCCGTAAGAGTTTTACAAAAACGCAACACGTGTTTCGCCATACAATGTCTTCTTCAGGCGTGTCTTTTCTAACTAAATTCATAACTACCTAGAGTGTGGATCTACTACTATCAGAAAGAAGAGCAATGGGTGAGTCAAATCTCACCTAGAACCAATTTGGAAATAACCCTAAGCTCCAAAAAACCAATAGATACCATAGATTTTGATGTTCTTTGGTTTTGAAGACTCACAGAGAATTCTTGGCGTACTTTTACGACTGTCCAACATATTCTAACCGAAGAACCTTTCAGCTACACTTTTTTCAAACCAGATGCTAACATGGTTAGCGAAATGCGCGTCGAAAGACAATATTTTTGTTATGGTGTACGTAGTGTTTTCAATAGATTCATTTTATGCCAGAGGTTCTAAAGCCTATTGATAAAACCTTTCATAATATTCTCAAGCGACCGTCTGCCTGGTACTGACTGCCTATATATATACTGGCTGCCCAACAGGCTGAAACAGCCTGTTGTCGGTTGATTGGTCAAACCACCAACACTTACATAAAAACTTGGCAAGTTGATTTGGGTGTCGCACCGATAGGTGGTTCCACTAATGTCTCGCTTGCGTTTACGCAGTTACTTTTATTAAGTACTTTTCTTGGTTATTCACATTTTGTCTTCAATCGAGGACCTTCTACTCGGGACTGAGGATCAGGTACTGACGATCATAGTGGGAAACAATTTGCGACGAATCTTCCAAATCGAAGATGTTGCACAGGTGCCTGATGGTTTTGCTTCAACTCTCTGCGCGGCATTAGCTGGGTATCTGCCACACGTACCTACAAAGTCGTAGATCTGTACGAGAGGAAAGGGACAACCCGGAGCATGTCACAATGCTGCTGGAAAATAATTCCACGAAAATAAAAAAATAAATAGATAAGTACTTTTTGATCATTCCCATATTGATTTCAATTACGCAGCTATTTTTATCAAGTACTTTCTTGGTTTTTTAAACAACATCTAAATTTCCTTATGATAGAATAACATCACATACAAACATTTAAAGTTTTATAAGAAATAATGTTCATTAGCACAACGCTATAGAAAAAGGACATGAACTAAATTATGTACTGTAATATCAAAGTTTAACATACAGAAAAAAATATTTCCAAACGCCTTTTTCTTGAAATGGTTGAATTTAATAGGTCTTCTGATTGTATGGATAAGAAAACTGACATTCATAATCTCAGCAGTATATACAGTAACTTACTGGAACTACAGCAAAAAGATAATAATAATGAAAATCGTATCAATCAATAACTCTTTCTTTAGAGTCAAAGATTATGTGAAGTTATGATATTTGTCAAACCAAAAAAATCCTATACATGTTTAGCTTTCTTTCATCAATTTATATGTTCAATTCATTGTTTTTTCACTCATTTTTACTGTAAGTATAATTTGTAATGATATTCAATGGCAAAACAATCTACAACTTAATAAGTTATAGGCAGAGTTAGAAGTTATAAGTAGAGCAGAGTTTTGATTTTGATATTTTGACCCCGTAAATACATTTTACTGTTACATACATGGATGGTCGCGATCTGACAAAAACCCAACCAACCTTCATTATTCATCTTCAAAAAAGAATGAATGAAAATGATCGGTCATTAATGTCTAATAACTAATAAAACTATTTTAAAATTTGTATTTTCATCCTGAAAATGAAAGATAAGTCACTTTTAACAAATTTTCCGGGTGACCAAAAACTAATATATTAGCGGTTTTTACAAGAAATATTTTACGCTATTCACAGATCTAAAAAAGTAATACTTGTTATGAAAAAATATTTTTTCATATCTTCATTAGTAATTTCGTGATAGGTATGTCGGTCTCAACACTAGATGCCTTAATAAATAACAAAATGTACGCTAATGCACAGCGTTTGATATCGATTTCTTGTCAACGAAGGTATGTGAAGTAGAAGCTAACATTATAGGAATTTAGGAAAAGGCGGGTTACTTGATGTCACTTTCTCACAGCTAGAAAGAATGCGAATGGCATGGGATTGCGCATTCAATTGCCATAGACTAGTGAATGTCCACCTTATTGTAAAAACCAATAGAAATGCAAGTAATTTCAATGTAAGTCAGCAAGTGTCTCATCTACAGATATCGGCAGTGTAGCGCCTAAAACGCGGAAAATGTATATGATCATGCGCATGTGGCAGTTTGCGAAATGGAGGTTTCCCGTCGTAACGAATGGTATTAATTTTTGTAAACAGAAACGATTTTGTTTGCTGAACATTTTCATTCTATTGAACAGTTAACTTTCAGTTGCCGCTTTATAATGCACACACACTGCCTGAGATTACACCTTGAAAGCGTCTAATAAAATCCTGAAACAACTGAATGAGAATGCCACCATGAACAAGTATGTATGTAAAATTTTCAACTTGGTTAACAAAAAAGAAATTTTTCATTGGAATATTGCCGAATTCACACTATACTTAAAGAGAGTGAAAACAATCTTCCAAATATATAACTATAGACCAAGTGGTACATATTCTATCAGTAAAATCACCAAAAATTATGAAGAAAGCAACATTAGTATATCAAAACTGAATAATGCTCTGAAGGGAAATTGATGTAGAACATGACTTTCCCATAGATAAACTTTTCAGGTACAATAACTGCCTAAGGGTTTTTGTTTTGATATTCCAGCTTTCTCAAAGATCGTTATATGTCATAGACTCCCACTATATTTTTCATTGGTTATGACACGCCCGAAGAAGCCATTGTATGGCGAAACACGTGTTGCTTTTTTGTCAAATCATTTAGTGAAAATCTCACAATGAAGTGTTTTTTGAATACGTTTGATTATTTTTTTTAAACCAATGACATGATGAAAAAATGGAAGGCTAGGCCACCAAAATCGAGTTTTACGGCGATTAAACGCTTCTTACCAACAGCGATAAAACTGACAGCCGTAAAATTAATATCTAGCCGTTATTAATCTTGAATCATACGTTACTGTCAGGGCCTAGTTATGCATTCTCATAATTTCAATCACTGTCACTGTCCTCTTCGAATACCAACAATTTATTTACGATAACCAGAAATTTCAAGAGATCAAACTTATTTCTATAGAAAGAAAATTTTTTCGAATGGAAAAGTCATTATGAATTTCAATGAAATAGAGAAGAATACGCGATGTTTTGTTAGCCGCATCAAGTAGGTTGGCTAATGCTGACAGTCATTTACGTATTCTGTTCATATATTCGACAATTGTACTTTCAAACAAATGTTTTTGCTGGAATTTCTCGTTATTCAGGTTATAAAATCTATTTAATATGAGAATTGATATTTTGTTTTTATATCAATGCATTCAGCTGAGAATATTTTAGGAAACAATCTTTACGAAAGCACTCGACCTAAAAATTTTCCCAGATAAATTTCAATTTTTTTTAATTCAAACTTTATTTTTGAGCAATGCCAATGGAGCAACCAGCAATAGATGAAACCACGAGTCCGTATAGGACGAGGCGTTTTATTATGCTATTTACTCTCATTGTATTGCTGAATAACAAAGTTTTCGTTGAAAAATGAGGTCTTTTGGTATTATTATTGAAAATTCAATATCTGTTTTTTTACAATCAACAGGAGATCAGTTGCAAAATGAGTTTCTGCTAAATTTCGCCTTCAAATTGGTTAATATTGTCATTAATGTAGATATTTATGTGACCCTGCATTTTAAATCTGTAATATCTTTGAAAATATTCATTTAAATTACTTTCTGTAGAGGGCCATATGGATTTATAATAAATGTACAATGTATTTAAGGTACTTAATTGGATAAAGAATACTGGTGTATTGCTTAAAATCGCTTCATAAATACGCCATTATTTCTCGAGAAAAAGAAATGGTTATTGTGAGTTATCCCTAAGAGATAGACATATACCATCCCGGACTTTTTTGAAGACCTTTTTAAGGTGTACAATACTGTAGCACATTTTTTGATCTATCTCGTAGGGTTCAGTCAGCGTTTGCAATGTAAACATAAAAATGTGTTTATTTAACGATATCACATTAGAAACCTCTAAACTTCTCAGTATTTCTCTTCTATATTATGCATGTTATATAATTATACATTCATCTCAAATCATTCTATCTATTGAAAAAATTGTAGTTTTTAAGACCTAAGCATACATAGGGACAGACAGTGGGAAGCGACTTTGTTTTATACTATGTAGTGAAAATGATGATTTATTATCATTGTGAACGACTTGAAGAATACCAAAAATCCTTACTAGAATCGTGCTTAATTTCAATGTTCGAACAAACCGCAAGGGCAGATTTTCTCCAACAACAAGATTTTCATCTTAACAACAAACAATTGTTTTTTAATTTGAATTGATATAAATTAACCAAGTAAAAAACCTGA